TGATTATCTCTTTCATTTGTTTAACGTCTTCTTCTTTATGTGGTTTTTCTGTCAGTTCTTCTTCAACATTTTTAGTTTTCTTATTTTTATCTACATCAGTATCTTCTATCTTATCTTTTACTTTGGTTTTACTTTTATCTTTATTTTGTACATCAAGAACTGTTGCATTATTATCTTTGATGTAGTCTTTTACTTCTTGCATAAAAGTATTGTTCGTGTACACGCAGACTCTGACGTTTTCCACAAGGGTAAAGGCTTCGTCTTCGATATTTCTGATTACTTCTATGAGACAAGCTTCGTGCATTGCTCCATGAGCCATGAGTTTAGTCAGGCTGACTACTCCGTCAATCAGCTTGCCTGTCACATCCATCATTGCTGATTTGATTACTGGTGACTGAAAATAAAATGGCATAGCTATCATTTAGTGGAATGAATTGAATTTCAATGTTAGTTTTGTCTGGTGGTTTTAAAGTTAATTTAGACTTTCACTTTTCAATACCCATCTAAAATAATTTAGGTATTAAAAATTTATATCATTAGGCATAGATTTATGTGCATAACCTCATAGTCTTTTTTATAATATAGGATATCAATAAGTCTATTACATATAGGATATCAATAAGTCTATTACATTTTTAGGAATATAGAGACTTTCCTCTCGACTGTCAACTCCTACTCGCTCACAAAATTCCCAACATTCAGTATTTCTTATAAAAATGTATCAAATAAAATGATATTAGAATTCAGGCACTGAAAGTTTCATAGCTGAAATAATCTCGTAAAACGTTCCACGCAACATTTGACTGAATATTATATTTTATTTCATGACCGGAAGTGAATCATTTTCCATGAAGTTTACGAATATTTTACCCAGTTCCGTACTGAATTTGTGTGACTCGGTAATTGATCCCGCTATATCCGTTTCCAAATGTGATTATGAGCTGTTCTTTAATTTGAGAGCCAACGCTGGGCGCAGAATTTACGAAATCGTTAGGCAACCCAACCTATGCGTAGCATTGTTTTACGTATTCGATTACCGTATGTGTACTGTGTATAAAGTATGCAAAATTGACCTACGAAACTGGACTTACCTTAGCTGTACATTTTTTTTTTCTAAGTGAATTACTAGTCTCGGTAGAACCTCTTATCTTAGATTCGATTCACAAAGTACTGTTAGAATTGAAAGTAACCCATCTATCAAATTCATTAAAAACAAAACAACATTTTAGGCGTACAAAGCCTTCACTTTAATATTTACTTAGGATGTTCTGATACTGTGATTGCTTAAAATATTAAACATTCTTTCGAGTTCATTGCAACCCCACGCTAGAAATTTCTCCTGCTTTGTGAATGCGTACAGACACAAATCTCCATCTGTCGAAGTTTGTAGTTGTCTGTACAATTTATGTATATTCGCTTCCTACTGTATTTAATTTCATGTTAGCTTGGCAATCAAGTCCAACTCTATATGAAAACGTTTATTTAGATCATTTTGTTTATCTTTTAATATTATGCTTATAATATTGTAAAACTAAGAATGAAACACACGGTTACTAAACATTATACAAAACATTATATAGATTTGACCCCATTATATCAACCGCACCATCCTCACTTCCATAATAACCGCTAAGTCGTTAAAATCATTACATAGCTCATTTGCCCTCAAAACCCATGGAAATAAGACCAAGGTCTTTCATTCCCATAAACTGAAACACTAAACACACTTAATTGACTTTAAAACCCCATAACACGGTCCATTGAAGTCATACACTTCGTCGAAAAGTCGTAAAAAACTCACCTTTGAGATCACGCACTTGATCACCTTCTTCAGGGTATCATGGTCATGCCCACAGACCTTCAGAAGACCATAAACTTCATGTTTCTTATCATATATCTGGAAATAATATTTTTCGTTATGCACCTGGGACGCCTTTGATGTTCTCCTAGTAAATGGATTTGGCTCAGGCTATTGATCTTGTGAACCATAATGATGAATTCAGAATTGACGGTTCGTAAATAAATGTTTTTTCATGAAATGTGTTTACGTTTACTCTCTTACGATTATGATCCACTTAGCGTACATGAAAGTTGGATTCCGAGAAGTCTTCCTACACGCTACTCTTACAATTCTCTCAAAGGACGGGATTTTTATACATTATATGTATTTCAAATTTTTGGCTATTTACTAACTAGCAACAACCGCTAGGTCTTGACGCCAGATAACAAGCAGACTATACTGTTGTTATTCCTAAATACCAAGAAATACAGTCCAGATTCCAGTTCAAACTATTTGCGTGGAACACTGTGCTGAACATGAACACCATCCATCACTGTTGTTTATGAATGAAGAAGAAATATTTTGTTTGCAATAAAGGCAATTCTTGCAACGCAAATGCTAGCTTTTATAAAAAAATAAACAAAGGAAATAACACATTCCTATACGCGTGAGCTGAATTTTCCAAAATCATTTCGATATTGGGATAATTGGATATACGCCAATGAGATTCCAGACAGGACAGTTGAATTGATTTTGATGTTCTAGCAGTGCGCTAATAGATTGTTAGTGCTATTTATTATTTTGATGTGTACAGTCTCTGTAAGTCTTTCGTATGTGATTTAATCATCGTCAAACGAGTTGAAAAAGATTAGAGAGCTGTTGAGTGATTGATTGAGATTGATGATAAAACCCGTTTATGATCGACAGATTAAAAAATAGTGCAAATATTTTTGACGCAGTAGGCAGTGAAGTTTGAAAAGATTTAGCGAAAATATCAGCTTATTTTCTGAAAGCTACTACGTCAGTCTGGTTTATAGCGGTTGTAATAATAATATTAACCTCTTCTTGACCTATTTAAACATTTTCCTTATCTTTATAATCTAGATCTAGGTTGAGTTAGGCTAGAGTCTGGAATTGTCTCACCGGTTTGATTCCCGTACGTATCATGTTCTTGAGTGCTAGGACGCTGTGCACGGCCTGTGCTGGGTCGTGGCCTATCAGCGCGTACCCGCAGACCACCATCTGATGCAGAGCCTTCTCCGCTAATACTGAGGTCTCATTTTGTTTCTTTTGTAGACAGGTGTCCAACTATTTAGATAATGAACAGGGTTTATTAGAATTATTAGAATTTCGTCTGCATCGAATGACATTGAATGACATTTTATTGCATCACTTGTGTTGGGCGAGGTATTTTAGAATTATTTGACTAACGTCATTCTGATATTCGTAATAGCACATTGTCTCCATATGATTTCATCTTTTAGGCTATTACAATTGGGAAACTATTAAACAGTTTGCTCGATTATTTTAAGAGAAACAAAATTGAAGTCGCCGATCGAGTTTTATCTTCATTCCCTAAATTTACTGTCCATTTAGATTATTGAAATTATCCTTTAGACGATTCCCTGAGCTATACTAGTTTTCTTTTAGTCAGATATTTTGTTTCTTTACCTCCTTTTCTCCATGTCCCTTGATGACGTCTAGCATATCCTGGAGCTCAGTCAGCCTATCCTGGATGTGCAGCGTTCCATTCTTCAGTAACCACTTTATCTTCATTAACACCATATCCACTGCCCTAACAATCAATTGATATACCAGATTTAGCACTAGATTTTATTTTTTCAACGGTAGCCCTTTAGAATATTGAGACTTGCATTTTTAATAAAGGATTTCTAAAATATGAAATACTAGCTTTTGCCCGCAGCTTTGTCCGCATTCCCGTCGGATTAAACGTAGCATGTGTTATTCCAGACTATAATCTATCCCTGTTCTAAATTTCATCTCGATTCCTTTATCGGTTTTGACGTGGAGGAGTAATAAACATACACACAACTCTCGCATTTATAATACTAGTAAGATTTTCTTTGACAAGTTCAGTGTGGCTACTATTATTCTTACCACATTCACATTTTATGTTTTACATGAAAATTGTTTTACCTTAGGGTTTGCTTTGCATATGTCAGAATACTGAAACGCTAGCAAATTTTAAGTTGTGCTTAAGTATAGTTCTATCTCTACAAATTCTTTGTAAAATGACAGAGATGGCACGATATTTGAGCACGACTTAAAATTAAGTAACGTTTCAGTATTCCGGCATTAGTCAATAATGTGGATCAATTTCATTTGCATTCTCTGTACTGGCCTCCATTCCAGAATTGTAAATCTATGTAATACTGACTACCCAATCCATTCATCTTACTTCTGTAGGTCCACTTGGAATTTCCTCTCAAGACTCTGTAGTAGATCATCACTCAACTTCTGAGTTATTTCATCCTCTATTACTTTATCCACTTCTTCTTTACCGATATCTTTTGCATCTGTTAACTTTCATGGATAGTTTATTAGTACTAAATTATTAAATTAATTTCAAAATATACAATAACTTATGAAATTTCTAAAAATTACGCAACTATAGTTACAATGAAAATATTAACTCTGATTTCAAGTGATGCTTTATGAAAATACGAAAATAATGATAAAGCAGATGTATTCCATGTTAAAAAAACAAGAACTAAACAAAATTTATGCTTAAAACTCACCAAAAACAAAGAAATACAAAAACAAAAGCTAGCTGCAATCCTAACATCCCTCATGGTGGAATCGCCGACCCGTCTACAATTTAAGTGTTCCCAAAATAAATTCTAACACAAATAACAACTCTTATAATCCAATATAGCAGAGTTTATGATGAAAGATCGTAAAACTTTATCGATATCAAATTGTGTATAGGCAATATTTTTATAAAGAAACTGAAATTTTCTATGCATTTATTTTAGAATTTCTTTACATTATTATTTTCGAGCCGTAGGTAGCATTCTAGAGTTGCGTTACTCGGTTTATTTGATTGCTTATTTCTATTTCATGTAAAACCAGGTTTGTTTTTATTGTAAATATTTATTGAGAATACAAAGTTTCCAGTATTTCATCAACAACACACATTACCGTTTCCATTAAATTTTAGATTATGTGGCTCCTGTAGATTATGTGGCACATCGTTCTATCAACAGGGGCACGTGCCACACTCACAAATCACTTTCTCAGTTTTGCATCCACAAGTTACTTTTTCTGGTTTGTCGCACTTGCAGATTACCTTTTCTTTACAACATGGAGTAGGTCCAGTGGTCTCTGAATCAGGAACTTTGGAGATAGGTTCCAGACAAGGTTCCAGTACATCTTCCTGTACACAACAAACAATGTATCGTGAGATCGTGACGCAAATTCGGTAAAAATGTGTATAAAATGTGATCACTTGCTATGAATCCGCCATTTACAAAACAAGTATGCAAAGTTCGCCCGATATACGGCAATACGCTTACCCTACATCAGCCATCTGATGTCCATGACTTATAACAAAACTAACTGGATTTTTGACGTCCTTGCCCCGTAATTTTAAACACCGCATTTTGCAAACAGTATTAAACTTAATGCAACTTACGATTTTGCGACACACCGACCGACGGAGGTCACCTCTATCCAGCATATCCAACACTTCATAGAACTGTCAACAATGATTGCTAGTTTTATCAAAATCTCTTTTTTAAAAGTAACTTTTTTTCTGTGTTCACGGTACACAAAACTGTCGCGTTTTGAAATTGGATAGCTAGCTTAGCTTTTTAACTTCATCGAACAATAGTGAGCACTGAGCAAAGCGTACGATAACAGGGTAGATGCCTAATTTTTATTTTAATGTCCGTCTGATAGATTATTTTAAATCATTAGACACGTATTTTTTATTTTCTTACAGAAACGAATACTTTCGACGATATATTGATTTGAAATGTCGCATGACGTCACTTCTATGTACATTTTATACGTAGAAATGACGTTTTACTTCCCCCACTCCTAAACTTTGCTTCGTTTTATCTAAGTATTGTTTTATTATAGGACAAAATAAAAAAATACGTGTCTAATATTTTTTCATTACTTAACTTACGGACTAATTGGATTTTAAATTTTCACACCCTGTCATCATCCCAATTATATTTAATACAAAAATAGTTAATTGGATAGAAACATGAACTTACCCTCAACTTGACTGAATACATAACTTTTACAGATGCGCACAGAAACAATTCCACCACTTCCAATGAGACTTGCCCAACTCTAGAAAAAAAGTTATCAACTTTTATTATAAATCTCCGAATCAATAACTTTATCTAAGCTAGAGAAGAAATAATAGAATAATAATAAATAGAACTACAATTAATCGAAAGAAAAATGTAAATGACTGCCTCGTTGGCCGAGTGGTCGCATATGCGACTGCCTGGCAAGGGGTCTCGGGTTCGATTCGATTTCGATTCGATTCCATATCCAAAATTTGAGTCTAAATAAATTTAAAAATGTCATTAAAGATAAACTTTTTAGTAAAGCTTTTTATAAAATAAAAGACTACCTAGATGATAGTCTGGCTTGGGAATAAGCCGCTGTAACGTCCACACAGGTCATGTTGACATGTTTGTAACATATAGTTACATTTCTTTTTATATGCAATTTGACATTATTAGCATAATGTGATATTGTTTTTCATTTGAAAAATTTATATTTTTTTAACTTGACATTTACCTCTATTTTTTTACAATTGTTAGTGCTAGGACCGTGCGAGACTTTGCCTCGCCATTTCTTTTCTTATTTCTTACTCATACTCTGACAGTTTGAGTATTTGTGCGACCCACGCAAATGTTCTTTAGGTTGGTATTGTTCGTCGAATCACTCAGCCTCATCTGTTAATTGAGCTGACTGTAAACCGACACATGCGTACTGCTTTCAGAACGGGTCCGCTCAAACTGTTGTGGTTCTTTCCTCAAAAGGCCACTACAGAAAGAACTTGCACGGTTCTCACACGTAATCTTTTTATACATATTTGTCTGGACTTTAAAAGAGACAGACCTCTGAGTTTGTTTCGGCATTTCTTCTCAGAGTAGTCAGTTAGGAAATGTCGACCTCATCGTTCGCTTGATAAAATTGACGTGTAAAAGTGCTGCCTTGTAGCCTATTTGCAGAAATAAATTCACTTGTTTCACTTGTTTCACTTGATTCCCGGGTCGGGCAAAGTATTACTGGATTTAAAAAAATCTCAGTGGTAGCAGTAGTGGGAGTCTGGAATTGTGCCCGGTATATGGCAATAGGCTCACCCCCTATTAAATGGGACTCATAACATAAATAGTGAAAAGTGGGTGTTACATTATACAGGGGCATAATGTCCACCTCTGCCTACCCCTTCGGGGATAAAAGGCGTGATGTTATATTAAAAATGTAAATCGTCGTCGCCGTCTAATCAACGTCTACGTACGGTTTTTTTTCTATAAAAGTAAATAACATAGCCAGGGTCGAATATCGTTAACTTTAAAGTTCATTAGACTTAAAACTATTGCCGATATTCGAATATAAAATTCTGGTTATAGAATTTTGAAAAAATAGCAGTCTTATATATGAGTAGTGTTGGCTGCGCGACACGCTACTCACGGATAAGAGTCCCGATATGACCTTAAAACTCTTAACAGTAGACCTTTTCTCAATCATTAGTATGTCTCAGGACCACAGAAATATAGAAAAAGGAGTAGTGGCAAGGGGGCGTGTCGATGACGCTCGCAATTGAGCGTTCTGCTCAATGTAGCAAAATATGGCCGTCATCGCGAGTTAGTCTGTTGTCCCTCGCGATCGTACATCAAACGATATTATGTCGCCTTGTGCAATGATTTCGTGCAGAAATATAAGCCAAAGTAAAAACCGTACTATTCATGGCATCTGTTACCATGTCTAAGAACAAATATTTACAATATTTATCTTAAATATATATAAAAATGAATTGCCGTTCGTTAGTCTCGCTAAAACTCGAGAACGGCTGAACCGATTTGGCTAATTCTGGTCTTAGAATGTTCGTGGAAGTCCAGGGAAGGTTTAAACGGTGAGAACAAAAAAATGTAGGCGGTACGAAGTTTGCCGGGTCAGCTAGTCTTAAATATATCTGTCTTCTTTAATATATCTGTGCTCAGGACAGACAGTTTGACTAGTAATAAATAGTAATACTTACTGTAACAGCCTTTGGTACACATCGCAGAGGCAACACATGGTACTGCTGTGCATCTCTTTTGGAGGTGGTGGTGGTTTCGCGCTGTTGCAACATTCAGGGTCGCATTTTAGGTGGAATTTCCCTAGAGGTATGTACTGGAAAGAAAGCTATTTAATTTTGATAATTTTCTGTAGTGAGCATAAATGTATGTAGCTCTAGATCAGGAATAAATATGTTTTTTTAGAATCTTTTTAAAAAAAATTCGTGTCACATCTCGACGTGCCACTGAGTCTAATCTAGATTCAGCTGATTGTCGGTATTTAATAAAACAAATATAATATATGGAAAAGTCCTCACCAGTATTACGACGACGATGGCAATAAATAACAGCAATTTGGTTATACATTCTACTGGACATAAATGATCTGCAAACACAATTTTTAAATAATATGGATATTATTTCATTATACATATAAAACCTACCGTGAACAAATCAGCATTAAACATTATTCATGTAGATAAGATGTAGAAAGAATATTATCTGTAAACATAATTACGAAAGATGTATATGAATGGGACCTTCGGTAGAAGGCATCTTAGACGGGCACATATCGACCAGATTGGTGATATATTAAAGAAGGGCCAAATCAAAAGTACCCTTAATTACGATCATGCATGAAAAGACTGATGACTGTTGAGGAAGTAAAGGGGTTATGTAAGGATCGTAACAATTGGCGTTGCATAGTCTCTGCCTACCCTCATGAGGCATAGGTGTGAGATCATGTATGTATGTTTTCTTTGTGTTTTACCTCCGTACTCGAGATTCATTTAACGGCTACTCAACTCAGTCCTAAGCAATTATTCTCAGATTAAAACTTTATGATGAAACTGGTCTTACGCCTTTAAAGTGATTCCTAAGATTTATTAGCTTTTAAAGTGTTACACATTGTTTCTTTACCATTGATTTTTATATAACTGGTAGTTAAAACATTTATGCATTATCTGCAAGAGTATTGTTATTGCCGGTTTTCTGTGAGGCCGTAGAATTGAGCCGGTCCATTCGCATCAATTAAATGATAAAATGCTTACCACCAAACCCTTCAGATTGCCGACCTAATGCATTGTTATAACGACTCGTCATCGCAATCTTTTCCAAAATGGTTTCCCTTTCATATTTCAATATTGATTGATATCTTCTTCCATCACTTGCACACAAGACACGGTAATTTGAAAAGAAAAATGTAATAAGAAATACCAAAAGAAATGCTGATTCTAAAAACGTCTACATTTTATCAAATTTGTCATTTCTGACAGAAGGTTACAAAAGGAGTGAAGTTGTTTTCGTTTTTAAAATGATTCTACTTTTGATAGCATAGAGTTTGTGTTGAGAGTTTGTAATCAAAAAAGTAAAAGAGGTAAAATGGCATCTTAAGTACCGATTCGAAAGACAACGGCTAGCTCAGAACATTTGTTCACTGTTTTAATGATTGATACCTTAAATCTTAATTACAACAAAACATAGATAACAATACAGTGAGTTATAACTATCATTCAAAATATATTATTTCTATCAATCAAATGAAAGTCGTAATGTCTGCCTCACTTATTGACTTATTGAGTTGGTCAATCACGTTGAAACTACGAAACAGATTTTGTTGAAATTTGGTATACAGGCAGGGGATGAGCTGACTTAGGGGATTTTTATCCCGATTAAATGCTCCCATCGGAAGGAACAGGAATCTTATTCTACGCGGACGAAGTCGCGGGCAACAGCTAGTATAAAATAAAGAAATATAAATTAAGTTTCACAATAAAAAAAAACAACTTAAGAACAAGTGGAATCATTTATTTTCTATTACTATTTTCTCGTTTACTTTTAGAACTGGGACATTCTCCGACACAAGTTTTCCCTTCGATGACACATTTAGAACAATTCATTAAAGAATTCATGCTATCTGATAGCGGTGTTGATAGCGGGGTCGGTTCCGGCTGAGTTGTTTCAGTCCCAACACTTTTATATGTTGTATCATCCTTTCTTTCTTTCTTCTGTTCTTTAAAGTTTCGTTCTCTTTCATGCTTGTGGTCTTTCTTTGGAAGTTCATTAATAGATGCTAAAAATGTTTTTGGTGATGATGAAGGTTTGTTTTTGTCTGCCGAAAAAGGAGGTCTTCCCGAACTGCTAGATGCTGCGGCTTTCAGCTCAGTGTGAGATATGGGTACACTTACTTTATCAGGATCAAAAGAAGTCGATAGCTTCAATGCTATTTCGGACAGTGTTGCAACTAACTCCGCACCGTATCTCGAAATATCAGAAACTTTACTCATTAGAGGTATTTCAACTGTACTTTCAGGTTCTGGTCTGACAACCTCGGGTTTTACATCCTCTGGTTTTGCAGAAAGTGTGAAGTCTTCATTAGAATTGAAAATCGTTCCTGTGGTAACAAGCTGGAAATAGTTTGTTTAATTAAAGTCTGCTTTGTTTTGACCTTATTTTATTTCGATCTCGCTTCTAAGAGCCTTATGAATTTGTATTACTTTACAAAGATCTCTGAGTGTTGTAAATAAAATAACCAAATTATTTCAATACCTTAAACTACATTTTTTTCATTGCTAGTAAAATACGAATATAAAAACAAATACGTACATAATTACCTGGGCTTGTCTTCCGCGGGCAGGCGTGCAATCCAGCATCCTGGCGAAATGGAAGCCTGTATTTTGTAACTGAAACAATACATAACATTACTAACATAAACATAAGGCCTTTTGTTCGTCGAAGGAACAAAGGATGCGGGCAGAAAGTTTTCGAAATCAATAAATCAAATCACGCTTTATCGAGTAAAGCGTTCTAAGCCCCAAAATGGCATAACTATATCAACGAGGTTGATATAATATCGTCCGTGTTATTTCACAAAAGAGTGTGCAAGAGATAAACCTGTATACCCTCAATCATTTGAAGTTATAGGAGATAAATAAGTGTAGCTAGTTTCAATAGTTCTAACTAATGTAAAAACAAATTCCAACACGAATGGAGAACCAACCAATGAAAAAGACGTAACAGTAAAACAAACAACAGAAACAGTAGACATAGTAACTATAAATACGTTATACAATCTAAATCTACATTTTGCAACGGATAGTATTCTAATTAAAAATAAAAGCAATTCTGCAAATATCTTCTACACGTTAGAAGATAACCAATAGATAGTAAGTAAACATAAATACATCACGGGGAACTCTAAACTCCGGTCATTTAGATTACCGAACGCTTTGGTTGGATCTCTTCCAAAAAAGCCAAACTTCATTATATCGTAGACTAGATGGCGTTAAACTACAAACCGGTACGGTTCTCTTATTTCATTGAATTGTTTGAACTTATAACGAGACTGTGAACTTCTCCGAAGTCATATAAGAAATAACTAACTCAACTAGATTGTTTTTAAAATATTATGTCTAAAAAATAGTCTGCAATTTATGGAGGAAAGCTAATATTCAGCAGTCAGTGGGTGACAAATCGGCAAAATGCCACGGCCGGCCCCCAGTTGGAAGGGGCAGCCGTTCGAAGGTTTTCATTTGATCTTGTGTGTGTTTTCCCGAAAACAGGAGCCCATCCGAGGACTTTGCCACGGGCCCCGAAAGGTATACTTACGCTACTGTCAGCAGCGGACGATTTATGGCTGTTAGCTAAGACGAAGATGATTTAATTAAATGTAGCTGAAAGGGTCACTGTTTTGTGTATTTTCTTTCTTACCACATCAGCGACGTTGTTGCAGTATTGGCTCGCAGCGTCCATCGAGTTGTTACAAATTTGTATTATTGGTCTACAAGACCTGTTGAAGTGTAATTAGTATTAATTAATTATTCACAAAATGCGGTGATCAATATTTCATTGGAATTTGAATATTGATATTATGTTGTAGCCGATTTTAACGCAGAAAACATCTTTATATGATCCACAACTTTCTGTTCTTGGTCTAATGTAACGTGAATTGGGTTTTTAGCCTTACACATGAAATAGGAGAATCTTATTCTTATGCAGATTCTTATTCTTATGAGAATCTCATCCTATCTTATTATTATTATGCATGCGAAAGTTTGTGAGTTTATGTTTTTGTTACTCAATCAAGTCAAAACGGATGAAAGCAGCGAAATGAAATTTGAAACAGGGGTAGATTATACTTAGTCTAAAATTACACATAGGCTACATTTTATTCCGGGAGCATGGGCAAATCCGCGAAAAGCTAGTACAAACTGTCAAACACCAAGCGGTCACCGGTGACCGCAACCTATCCTTACTAATATTGTAAATCGGAAAGTGAGTTTGTTTGTTCCATTTTCACGCCGTAACTACTAAATCGATTGCTTTGAATTTTTGCAGACGTGAAGTTAGAAGTCTGGATTAAATAATAGGGTACTTTTTATCCCGGAAAAATTTGATATTCTCGAAGAAAAACGAAATTATTGGTATAGATGGCGCTGTGTGTATTGGTATATGACACATAGGCTACTTTTATCCTTTTGTGACGCGAGCGAAGCCGCGGGTAAAAGCTAGTTGTGCTATAATTGTGTCTATAATGACGGTACTCAAAGAGTTAATATATGTAGGATGACGTTATAACATACTTGACAACATCTGCGACGACTATGCAGGGGCAGTGTACGCAGACACAGTCAGCATGAGGGTGACTTTGGCGTCTGACGAGTCCGGAGATGCCGCTCCGGCCACCTAGACCGCCGTCTTCGAACATTTCCGGACGGCACGCGAAACGACACTCGCCCCGCCATACCTGCCGTTTAATGGAACTGTGTGCTGAGAACTGAGCGGTGTTATAACATAATTATTGCTCGCGCATAACTTATAATGAAATCATAAATTTAATTTGAAATTGAGAAAAAATCTTTAAAGTTCATTTTTTAAAACTTTTTGAAATACAAAATAATTTGAAATTGAAAGAAAAGAAGACTGCCTCGTTGGCTGAGTGATCGTAAGTGCGACTGCCGGACAAGGGGTCGCGGGTTCGATACCCGGGTCGGGCAAAGTATTACTGAGTTTTTAAATATTCTCAGTAGTAGCAGCACGGAGTCTGGAATTGTGCCCGGTATATGGCAATAGGCTCACCCCCTATTACATGGGACTCATAACATAAATAGTGAGAAGTGGGTGTTACATTGTACAGTGGTATAATGTGCACCTCTGCCTACCCCTTCGGGGGTAAAAGGCGTGATGTTATGTTATATTAAAATGGGTAAATAGCCATGGAGTTTCACGCCTGTCTTTCTCCATAGAAATTTGTACCATGAAACGAGGTTCCCCTCCAAGTCACTTAAGTATAATATTGTACATGAATATTGGTAATGGAATTGGGACGTTACTAACCACACTGTATATTATAAATATCAAGGCTATTACAAAGAGAATATAGCCAGTAACCATTTGTCTGGTTCCAGCTGCCACCTGCAACCAACATTTATTAATGTCATTATCTTCATCAACACTTCTCTCTTTCTTTCACTTCTTAACCTTATCTTTAGCTCTTCATAATCCACCAGCAACTGTTCGGATATTGTCAATACCCTAAGTCTTAAATATAAATCTGTTTTACAAAAACCTTTATTGGTTAAAAAATATCTATTATTTATAACATTTGAAATACTAACATGGTCTTGTTTTATATAGGTTCTTTACCAACATACGTGCATGTTAATTATAAGAATGATTATTTTAATTTCATTTCGGAAATATGATAGACTGTATTGTTTTGGTACACATTGCTGTTTGACAATACACGAGTAAACGTGACAAATAAATGTTTATTGACGATACAAAGACAAGAAGTAATATTTTAATCTTTATACCTTTCCTCTTTATAAATAGGTTACATTGATATTAAGGTATAAGGTCAAAAGCCCCTAGATTTGGTCATCCTTTTTGTCATAATATAATTAGTGAAAGCTCTATTTCCACAAACATAATTATTGTAATTGATATTGCTTATAATTTAGCTAACTGTTCAAAAACTGTTATTTATTCAAATTTAATGGTAAGAATATTAGTTGTGATGAAGATTATATTTAAACACTTAGAGATAGAAACGTTTTGTTGATGGAGTTAACCAAATCCAGGTGAATACCTTTTTTTTTGAGGAGGGAAAATCATCCTATGACTTCTCCCGCCTGGGTGAGGCGGGAGGGAGTGTCAGACTCTTACTGACTAAAAACCACCCCGTTCCTACACCTGCACTTCGAACCGGAGCCCCGGCAACCCGTTAAGTCTTCCGCGGCGCAAAAAAAAAATGATGTCGGAGGAAAACCTCTAGGGTCCTAGTTTTTTGGGGATATAAGGCTAGGGAGTGTGGGATTTTTGCTTCACTTAAACCACCTCGGTGGCCACCCTAAACCCCTTAATGGAGGCACCGGGCATAGTAATATAGGCAATTAGCATAAATTATTGTAATTGAAAAACTGGGCTAAGTTCCAACCGGCCGATCTGGTAATCATTGGAGTCCACCAATGATTACCAGACGTCCGTCTATGTTCAGCAGTAACGATTTGTGGCTGATATAATGATTACGAACAGGTATTAACATAGATGAATGTATTCCAGAAACAGAGGGTCTCAGTAGCGGCTGCGAGGCGAGTGGAGTACGAGAGGAAATTGCAAGAGACTATGCAGCACTCCAATCCAAATTGAGAAGAGAGTTCTCAGACAGGCGAGGGAAACTGTACGCAGGTGAGATTTTAAAATAGAAGTCTAGATAACAATAGGACAACTTTTGTTACAAGTTAAATCAAAGAAGACACAAGACCATGCGTAGCTGGAACACCCTTTGAACTAAAATCTTGAAACCAACTACCAAGCTTAGATGTCATAGCAAAACCTTTAGAGTCAAGGAAGACTGTCTCGTGACTAGCCTGTGAACTGCCAGGGGCTGTTAATAAGTGGATAGTCAATTTTTAAAATGAAAACCATTTTAATTCCAGCCGCTCGTCCTGTAGCTACCGAGGAGCAGTTGTCAGCAGACTTCCGCAAGAAGCTTGCTGAGTGGCAGCTTAAAAAGGGAGTCAAGCAGCCACTACCCATCCCAGCCAGACAGGATCTTAGCGAGGACTTCCTAAAGAGATGGGGTAAGATCAAGAAAATTAATGAATGCGTTAACACATCCAATTAATGTGCAATCATTCTAAATGAGTTATGTGAGTACCTAAGTAAATATGATAGATCTTGGTAAAAAGTAGAACGAAAATGACTGTCTATCACCAATAACCAAAACTATATTTTTTTAAGAAATTAATCGTCGTGTATTTTCACAGACGAATGGAAACGCATGAAGGAGACGAATTCAGTACCAGCCTGGGAAGAGGAAGCTAAACCCGATGAGGTGCTGGTACAAACGTCTACAGGACTCTTTAAATTTCAAGGTAAGAAATTGTGATTGTGTTAGGTGTATGTCGAAATCCAATTACAGATTTAGTTAATACAAAACAAACTCTGATTACAATTATACAATCTGAAATGTAACGCCTCCATTTTCTTCATTACAGGTATATCTCGATCATTTACTCGTAAGTTACACGAATGGGAGAAGTCTCGTGGAATTGCTCCAGAAGCCTCCACATCAGCTCTCCTTAGAGCAGCAAAGGCCCGCACCAGCAAAGTTCCCCAGGCACCTCTCACCAGGACGCAGTCTGATGGAAGCGTGGCTCCATCAACTGCTGGATCTGGTAGACTCCATGCTTCAAGTCTCAGTGTCAACGATGCTGATGATTTCGATTCAGAATATGAGAGGGAACATTCTGTGAGTATTTAAAATACATGTCTACTTACAAAAACATTAATGTCTTTTATTTTTCAAAGCGTTAGCAGACATGCGATGCAGGTGAGATAAAATGTTTACATTCATCTTCCTTTTCTCAGCTTGATGGCCTTGACGATTGTGATGGTCCAGAGACCCGAGGAGCTGTTCTTGTAGAAGTGGAAGATGAAGAAATTTGTACAGCAGCTCCCTTGGTTGCTGTGTCTCCTCGCCATACTCCTCAGAAACCTGTCTATACCTACGGACAGGCTGAAGCTAGGTTGCTGTGCGAAACCAGCTCTGCAGTCACAGGAACTGCTGTTCTACAGCCAAATGGAGCTGGTATATAATTTACTTACTTTTATATTATTTTAATTGTTCTAAAAACCAAATGTAATATACAACTATAATTTTCTACAGTCATCTTATCCGATGCCCGTAACGTTAAGTCAAAGGAATCATCTGGAGCGAGACCAAAAACTCGAGAACAGGTAACACACACATTTCTCGTTGTTTCGAAAACTCAGTCTCAATCCTTCATAAGTAAATAACATTACAGAACAAACACTCAGAGAAGGGCAGAAGGAAGATCATGAGACAACCGAGCATAGAAGAAGATGCCATGTTCATCAGAAAAACCATAGAAGAAATAGAAAGAGGAAGTTCTAGTCGCTTTAGAGAAAGAGAAGCCACTGATAATGAAACTCGTCACAAAAGTCCCGAGAGGATTTCACCAGTTTTACAAAGAAAAGAAATAGACAGAGATTATAGTCCAAAAGTCAACAAACAAAAAGATAATGATAAAGAAAGAATTATTGATGCCAAAGATAGAGATAGTATTGAAGAATGCAAAGATGATAGCAAAAAGAAAGATTCAGAAAAAACTAATGGTAAAAAGAAAACTAAATGTAGAGCCAGGCTAGAGAGGGAGCAGTCGAAACCTTCAGAAAGTGACACGGAACCTGAGGTCGATACTGTAACAGTGGAGATACCGAGAAGAAGAAAACGACCAAGACGTGCATCTGAGAAGCCTAGAACACCTCCAACTTCACTGCATTCAGATTCTGAGGGAGAAGTAAGTATATTTCGAAAACTCGAAAATCATAAATGTAGTGTCAGACGCATTGAACACATTTAAATTCGTCTCAATTAATTTCCAGATATTCGTCCTCAAACTAAAAGCACCAGAACAACGTGACCATTCTCCAGAAGTCATTGTGAAAACCACTCGCAAAATATTCTCTCCAGTAGTTCGTAGTGGAGAGTCCGTACCCAGGGCTGTAATACCAGTAAACGTTGAAGATCTTGCTGAAGTCAGACCTTTAGAACATCGAAATGAAGGAAAGAAGAAAGAGACCAAATCAGAAAAGGTAAAACCAGAAAAGACTACACGTTCCAAAAGTTCTGGTGACCTGCAAGAGGCTGAAGAGTTGAAGAAGAGGACCAGGCCACCACTGCCATCTTCACCTTCATCACAAAGAAAGCCACAGCCTCCAAAAGAAACCGCACCGTCCATCCGGATTATGATACAGCGTTACAATAAGAAGATTAATGAGGAAGGTAATAATCTAAAATAAATGTTATCTATAATTGGTGTCTCAAAAATTCACAATCAAATGGCAAACAATTTAGATGTAAAAGGCAAAATTGAACCGAATGACTGATAAATGGATGATAATATTTCAGGACATACATCGCCAGTCAGCAGTGGAGCATCTTCACCCGCCTGGAGATCCCCCTCCACTGAACGTCGAAGACCTCCCGATATGCCTGTGGGTGTAAACATCAGGTAACTGAACTTTCTGTTGCCATTATCGATTGAATTTGTTAAATATTTTACAATGATAATTTCAACTCTTTCCAGAAATAACCCATTCCTAGAGAGGGAAGTCCAAAAATCAGCGAGCGCCTGTCAACTGTCCAGACGCGACGCTACTTCAGCGGAGAAGCGCCTGACGCCAGCACCTGCAGCAGGACTAGATGGTGTTCTAAAATCCCATAGTGCTAATGCCTTACACCCAGAGAAAACAGTCAGAGATATAGCTGACACCTCAAGTAAAAAGAAAGAAGACAGTCAAGAAACAATAATGCCCACAGCTAGTACTGACACTATAGTACCAAACCCAAGAATTCAGCCAGAAACCTCGTCAATAACTGCTGAATCTCTGCCAGCTTTGAGACATGTATCTGATGTCACAGTCCCTACATTCAGCAGCTACATGTCTGGAGAACCAGGGCTATTCGGGAGGTCTATATCTACCGTGGAAACCAGTAATTTCCAGGATTACGAAGCTGCAGCAGCCACGTTGTCTGAAAGAGCTGCGAAGATTCGTGCTGCAAGGGAGAGGTTTTTAGCTTCGACGGTGCCTATGAGGAGGGAAGGTACCAGTTCTGCAAGCGATTTGAGGCCTGGAGACAGGTGAGTGGTTTTCAAATTATATTGATCATCGTCATCACCAGCCTATGTCCAGTAGGCTATGGACTGCACGGTTGGTACGGTGGCTAGGTAACCGGCTGCCGTGCAACGTGTCGCGGGTTCGATCCCGCACGGAACAACACTTTGTGTGATCCACAAATTGTTGATCCGGGTCTGGGTGTCATGTGTATGTATGTGAACTTGTATGTTTGTAAACGCACCCACGACACAGGAGAAAATCCGACTGTTGGGCAACGTTTCGAAAAAAAAAAAGTAGTGGTTACTATTGGACATAAGCATCTACCAATAGCATACCACCTTAGCTCTATGCATGTGACAACCAGCCACTTTGTAATATTTACTCCATCTAATTAAAGTATATGTCTGTAATGGTTTCAGGTCGAGTAGAATAAGTTGCGAGAGTGACGTCACAGAATCCCAAGGCTCCAGCACCCAGGAATCTGCGGCGTTGGGCCGGAGTGCCTCCACGGGGATGGTCAACGTGGACAGAGAGGCTTGGCAAAGGGTGGCTGAAGGTAAATCACTATTTATTCTTTTTACATTCATACGTCATTTTAGTTACGATCAAAATATTATAAATTAAGTAGTAGGGCCAAAATCTGCCCTTCTAGATTTAGGTAGGCATTTATAACTAAAGAAACCTTTTATATAATTGTTTAGATAATAATACGTTCAATATTTAGTCACTACTCGTTAAGTCTTCTGCGGCTTCGTAACTGAGTTATGCGTTCTTTTAAATTCCTAATTTTATCTCAAAGAAGCTTTACGAAGCTTTTAGCATGTACCTATTTATGTTTTATATTATGTTCCAGGCTCCCGTCGGGAAGGTCGGTCCCACCGCTCCCGATTCAGCCTGGCCCGCTTGGCAGCTAAACTGCGGCGACGTGACGAGGGCGGTGCAGTATCCCGACTCTGCCGCCAAAGTCTGCTAGTCCAGCTCATCAATAAACATTAAAATATACATTATACTGTACGCATTGTACTTTGTATTTTATTTTGACTGGACTCCTGGGAGTTAACTAAACCAGTAACCTGATGCTGTCCACCACTTACCACTGCGCATGTTTTTTTGTTGCAATTGTACCCACCGTTCATTATCCATTAAATTCGTTTTTACAATAGGTATACTCTGAGCTATGAATCAAAATGCATTAAGAATTAGTCGAGTGAGAGAATAGAAAACAATAGTTTACGTAAAGCCAATACATTCTTATTCCCTGTGTCGATTACCGCTTATAAAGCATTTGGCTTATGACTTCTAGCTTCTAGCACAAATGGTCCAATTAGCATTCATGTTGGACAATAAAGCCGACACCATTACAAGTAATTTTCAAAGAACCAGGTCGATTTTCGATTTTGGAGGTTCATCTGAAGGTGATAAAATAAAAATAAAACAATTTTAGCCATACTTTATTTTCAAATTTAATATCGTTTCGTACAATACCGTGTTAACAGTCCGACGTCCGCATTCAATAGTTCGGTAACAATAATTACCATATCAAAAGGTGGATGCTCGAACTAATAGCATTTATTATAAAAACACTACGTTTCAGTTATTTATTAGTAATAATAAGACTCAAAAGAACACTTATAAACAATATTAATGGGTAATTTGGTTGAGGTAGATTCAGTTATATTTTTAAATAACTAACTTTTTTTGTTTTGTGGGCACATGACTTAACATGGTGGAGGTTACAACGGCGAGGGTCAAAGTTTACAAAGGTAATTTTCGCGCCGTTTTATTGGCGCCATTTTTGTAGCCCGTCAACAATGCGAGGCGTAATGTTGCTAGTCTCGAAATATCTTACTTTAACATTTTTAAAGGTAGGTACAGGAATTCATAACATTCATTAATCTTTAAAATCAAATAGTGCAATATCTCTATCATGCCCCCACAATATATTTTGAAAATCCCTTACTTTACGATTTCATTTAAACGAAAACCTGGGATATTTTAATTTTACACGAGACAAAATTTAGAATCACTACATTATAAAATAAGAAATATTTTTTATTACACAAAAAAAAGTATTGGTAATTTTTATTTAGTACAATTATTAAATTATCCCAATTTTTCGGTATATACAAAATATTTGACTTACAAGCACGGGTTGTGGCTTTCATCAATAGGTACTTATATCGAAATTGAGCCACCACAATGGTCTTTAAATTTTTAAACTTGTATAATATTAATATACAACAACTCCTTATGTTATCTCCTGTAGAAAATGCTATTGGTGCTTTGCAACGAATTCACAAAACTACTGCCCTAGTCTTGCCAATGAAATACACTTAATCAAATTATTATTTACACGTAAAATACAATAATTTTAGAATTTCATAAATTCGTAATTATATAAATTAAATACAATAATTCTTACATAATGAAACATCTTTGTAGTAACAATGAAAGTAATAAAATTATTGGATGGTAGAATGTTTAGGTAAGCTCTTAATTAAAAAATGTAATTATTTCATTAGCAAGATAACACAATGATACATCTAACAATGTCTCTTGCTAAAAGTTTAAAGATGTCCAAAAGCGAGAAATAAAGATGTCTTCGAGCAGAAGTCAAAAACTTTGCAAACGAGAAGAGTACAAAAATTGATTTAGGTACGGAAACACTAAACGTTAACTTTTAAGAAAAATACTACAGAGGTTGGTCCCCTGACATTTAACATTAAAAAAGTAGAAGAGAATAAAGGTTTTTTAAACCACATTAACAGTTAATAAATTATTTTTTTTATCGTCGCAAAGAAAACCAATAACATGCAATTTGAATGAAGAAAGGGAACAAAAAAATCAAGCTTAAATTCACAAAAACTTAAACTAACTCGTGTTAGACATCGAACTATGTTTAAAATTATATATATACTTTATATTAAATATATATTTTGGACGCGTTTCACTAAGTACATGCTACAAAATCAACGCCACAACTATAGGTACTGAGTCTTAGTACTATTTGAAAAACGTCAAAATAAAATCGAAATTCCGCTTGGACTGTAAAACTTTAAATAATTTTGAACAAATAATCTTCAACAGGTATATATATACGTCTGTATATACAACAAATATTAACTATTCTATTGCTTTAAAATTTCAGGTGTATCACGTATATTATTTTCGAATCTGTGACATTTTGTTTCCTGTGTAACATTATAAGGTTTTTACACAATAGCACACATCAGCAATAATTAAGCAATGTTTTGGTAACAGAATACTTTATAAAACCAAATAACAGTCTCTATATAAAAAAAAACATCTGTAATTTGGTATAACAAAAATTCGATTGAATTTAATCAAATATGAATTTAGTCAAATGTAAACTTGTAAAACCATGAATGTTAGAATAATTAACATGAGTAAAATACTGCTGACGGTGTACCATATAAAAACGTCTACACATAACAACAGATTGTACAAAAATACAGTGATGGAACAACGTGGTCAATTAATAACATTATTGCTTATTACCGAGTACTATTAATAATAGTTTGTAACAAATTGGTCGGCTATACAATAGGTATCGTAGTTTGCAACGTCGCTTAATGGTAAAATGTAACCTTACATTTGTATATATAGTTAAAAAATAAAATAATAATTAATAAAAAAAAAACAAGAAAAAAACTGTATTTACAATGTAAAAAATCTGTTTGGTAGGTGAAACTATTGCAGTCAATATGGAATGTGCGTTAGTAGAAATATTGTATATATGTCTATTGTAATAAATATAGTGGAATGGAATACCCGCTTTGATAAAGAAAAACATGTGGGAAAACATGAACACTGATTATGGGATAATGAAAACAAGAATTATCGGTTGGGGGATGGTTATTAACTTTACTTGATAACGCAGTTTAACGCTAAAACTAGTTATTCTTTTTTGGTTGAAAAAAATCGTGACGTGACATGAAGACGTATAAAAAAAACATTTCTTGTATTCTTTTTCGAAGCTTTGTTTTTTTTTAAAACCATCCCCGCAATACAGTTTACAATTAATATATTGCGAAATGAGATTCAAAATTATCATCAGAGGCACAACATCAGGCTTATAATTATTATTTTCTTATTTTTTTTCACTCCAAGGACGGACAAGCCAATGTAAAAACGTTTAAAAAAACTGTATAGAAACAACATTAAAATCAATATCAGCGTAATATGGGAACAACTATTGTAGGTTTACCTTAATCCTATTCATTGTAGTTATTTTTCTGGTCTATTTACTAGAAAATATTGGAAAATAAGTCAGTTGTGCGATAGGGGGATTTTTTTTATAGTTGACGATATCAAATCTTATTCAAAATAAATCAGTTGAAAGGCGGATACTAACAATTTCCAATTGTTTACAGTTTAATTAATTTAATCAAATTTAGTATTTAACCAATAAATAGACCAAACAAATAAGTTTGCAACATATTTATAAATGCATGCACTACTGTTTTATAAATAAATTACAAAAAACATTGTACATCATTCAGGTATCTGTTATTGCGTTGACGATTAAATTGTTTTGGTTTCACAATACAATAATTATCAATAATAATAATAATAGAAAAATTATAATAATCCAACAGTTTTCAGTAATACAGTTACAGTGGCCAAATTATTACTTAACACAACCACGAGTGAACTTGAAAAATCCATAATTATTGAATAAAAAAATAAAATAAAAAATAAGTTACATTAACTTGTTAACTACGCGGTAATCTTATGGTAGAAATTATAATTCTTATTATTATATAACTACGGTATTTTTGAACATTCAAAGTTTAACCTATTTTCTTGTATAAAATCAAATGCGTTATTTATATTTATATTATTATTTTCATTTAAGAGTAGGTAGCAAATACTATCTGACATAGTTTTTAATCTATATTTCTTAAAAATGCAACGCTTATTTCCTTAGAAAAACTGTTATTCTTCATAAAATTTATCTCCTTACGAAACAGTAACTATTACTTCTCATGTTAATTCAAATTTTAAGAAAAATATGTTTGGTGTTATAGTTATAGAAGTCATTAATTTATTATTAATCTTTATTATATCATAGAAAACATTGAATCGTTATTTTTATTTTATTAAAAATAGTCACCGAAGCATTTGTATTTTTAAATGTAATTTTATCATCTTTTTATACAACTTACTTATTTTAATGGAAATAGGCGATTAAATAAATTGTGTTTTTATACATTTTTGGCTCTAAATGGTCCTTTAGACTGCTGTAGGTACTTTTGAACAGTGTGTCGTGTAATGGTAATACGTATTAAATATTTCAAGACAACAGCGAAATTCGGACACGCAATATAACAATACTGGGAGAAAAAAAACATGTGTAATATATTAGAAAAAAAAAACAAAACCAGCGCACTACGTCGAGCCCAAGAAGAAACGTTGAAAAAAATACAAAAAATGCACTAATTTTCTGCTAAAACCAAGGAAAAAAGTAGCTCATACTCCATTGAAACTATTCAGAATCGAAGCTTAGACCCTGTGACAAAACCTAGCGTCAAAGATAAAATTCTAGATTTGTTTAAAGATCTAAAACTACACCTAAGTCTAGCTAACTTAGTGTAATTGAATTTTTTCAGGTACATAGTCGGCGTTTTCCTTTCAATTTAATTTTAAACTGAGTTTTTTTTATATTTTATAATATTATTTACAATGGCGACCGGGTGCCATAATAAGTCAAAAAATAAATTTATTTAGACGTAAAAATGCCCTAAATTTAATATTATTAAAGAGAAAAATTTATACAATTTCGTGAAAATTTCCAAATTTAATTTCTTTTTTTATTTTTTGACTTAATGTACGCCGCGTTCGCCAATCCTTACCGTATAATAAATTGTACCTAGGTGCTTTTACTCAAGAAATATAAATAGGTACTAAATATATACTTTATACTCGAAGATAGGCGCCTGATTTTAGTGCGATAAACAAAATCAGTCAAGATTTTTGTACACAAATAGAAACCAAAAATGTGCTAGTCAAGGTACTGCCGTAAGTATTCTAATACCTTATTGTTGATCGATGTTATTAGATTATCTGTTTATTCATCTTAATCTGTAATCTGTAACAACCACTTTATTATCTGTCCTATAACTATTTCCGTTATAGTTAATTTTTATTGTCTTACCATCAAATCACATTACCATTAAGTAATCTAGCTTGAGATTGTCAATATATTTTTTTAAACAAATAAAAGGATAACCTGCATAACATCGACCAATAACCGTCCACTAACACTATCTTAAATAAAAAAAACTGAAGAAAAATAAAAAAAAAATACATTACAAATTATCAGTGAAATACTTACGGTCCTAATAATAAATAAATAAAAAAAACACCACTAAATCTATGCAGTAAGTGCCATTCAACCTCATCGATGGGTTATCGAAGAAAACTTAATCGATCTTCAACATTAAACATTTTCGAATAACATCTAAATTAATCTTAAAACGAATAAAATGAGGTAGATACAAATTGTGATATGGAATAATGGTCGGCGAACATAATTTGACATTTACACAAACATGTCCGCCGTGGCAGAACACGTTTAGCTTACGTCACTACAACATTTGGCCACGTCAGTCTTCTTTTTTAAATTTATTTAATAAATAATGTTTTAAAAAGCGCAAAGCTAATTAAGTATTGCAGGTTATACCGCTAATAATAGGCACTTTAATATTATTATAAATATATTCTAATAATAAAACTGAATTTTAAGTTGTGCTAATTAGGCGGGATTTTTCATTACGTTATCTGAAAGTGGGTACATTTCAGACAACATTATATATTTTACATTATTGTAGTTTAAAAACAGTTGTATTTGATGCTAAATAAAACCAGTTTTTAACAAACTGCAATAACTGTAACGTATAAAATAATTGGATTTATTTTATAAATGTATTTTATAATGTGATGTGAAATAGTGGCATGACCACCAGTGGCATAACGTAAGCTAAACATGTTCCAGTTTCAAAAAAAGAGGGGGAAATGTCCAATAACTTTTTTTAGTAACTTTTATAACGATAACGCGTGCTTTAATAAACTATTTTCAATTCATAATAGTCATAGTTCGTTGTAATATATTATTACTTTATCATTATATATATACTTTATATTTTAAATTTACTTTTTTAATCTATCTACTTGATTTCTTAGGTTTTAAGTAGGTATCTAGAATTTTGTGAATCATAAAACTGCTAAAACAAACTATAACAGTGATATATAAAAACCTGTGCATTTGTATTATTGTTATTAATATATGTGACAAATATATATATTTAAAACAAAATCTGGAATGTAAATTGTGAAGAATACTAGCATCTGAGGCTTTGTCTATTTACTGTGTGAAATAATAATCAGAAAATAATAAATATTTAGTAGTTTATGTAAAGTAATTATCATATTTTCAACATGGATAAATATTTTTTGTTCTATGTTATGTACACGCGAATTTCAATGTGTTTGTAATTATTTTGGTCTATATTTTGTACGATTATGTTGCACTAACGGTGAATCTATTTGTATGACTTATGAACCAGTGTGTACTTCAAAGAGGCACTGTTTATATCCACGACCCGCGGCCGCGCGGCGGGAGGCGCGCCGGCGCAGACCTGCGGTCACGTGCGTACGCGCCATTCCTACATTATTGTCGGGCGCATTTAATCTCAGGCCGTAAACGAACAACGCTATTTACAAGTGCGTGTTGCCGTAAAATCGGCAATAAAAACGTTATATAATAATATACATAGTAACAATTATTAGAGGGTGATCCTTCACTACGGCGAAGTTACGAACAGATTAGGCGAGAATAACTTCACGTGCTATTGAACAACAGTTACTTCCGACCTGAATCCATTTTTAACACTTAAATTATTTACCCGTACTATTGTTTACCAAAATAATATCAGCCTTACAATCATTAAAAATAAATTCTAACGTTAGGAACGAAACACGATAAGCTATCCTCGCGCGAACCCGTATCATTCGGACTATTTTAAGCCTCATTATTATCTATTAAAAACTTTAAGTATTACCCTTCCTTATTTTAGTCGTATATCCATTTTACTGTGTCTAACGAGCAACTAGTAAAAAAAACATTTTTGTCTGTACACAATCTCAATCCTTGACTTATAAATAGCACACCATTCGAATTGACGCGAGAAATCGGTATCGAAGGATACCAGATCTCAGGGGCCGCCTACCCCTAGTGTAGTTCTTGCTTATCGGGAGGGTGGGGGGTTCTCAACCGTTAGGTTGGAGCGTGGGGAGAATTTTGCTGTTGTCTAGTTGGAAGTCGGTGCTTCGCGTGAGTTCGGAGTTCATGTTGTCGTCAGGGAGTTTGTTGAACGAGTTGTTAGCGCTGAGGTCCCTGGAGGACCGCGAGACCTCGTACTCCGGCCTCCGGGAGGTGTCGAGGAGGTTGAAGGTGGTGGAGGCGGAGGTGTCAGGGTCGAGGACTGTCTCCAGAGTGGTGTCGGGGTCCTCGTAGCGAGCCACGTCGAACGCAGCCTCGTAGCGACGGCCCTTGCGCATGCGACCGTTCGGCGTCTTCGACTGCTGTCAATGATAACTTCACGTTAGACACATAATTCATTTTTATAAATTGGTTTACAGAAAATGACATGGAATTTAGATATTTTATTCATGCAGTTATCAAAATAGTTACAGAGAAAACAAAAAGGGACTCTGGTATCCCCATTACAATGTAATTATATTACTTAACATCACATCATGTCTCTTTGTCTCTACAGAACTAGGTGAAGGTTACTGTGTTCAGTTTTAGTAGCTGTATTATAAGTCCCATTCATATCTAAGAACATAACTAGAACTTCATTCACGAATGAACCTCATACCTCCCAACGTCAAACATACAAATCCGATAACAAAATACTTACGTTAGGATTCTCAGTAATATGAACGTGACCGTTGAGTAGAGGTTCTCCAGCATCCTTGGATCCTCCTCCGTTGGCGAGGCGGTTACCGATGTTCTGCACATACGACACAACTTCTTAGACTCTGCCCACGACTCTGGGTAAAAGGGGATATAGTACCAAGTACCTGCTAGGTACATACCTTCATTTCTGCGCCCTCTTCTTCGTTGCCGTCATTTGACGATAGGTTGCGTCGGCGGGACCTGGAAGATTGTTAAATTAGATTACATTTATAAATGGTTAAAGATTTGACTGCCTCGTTGGCCGATTGGTAGCAGATGCGACTGCCGGGCAAGAGGTCTCGGGTTCGATTCCCGGGTCGGGCAAAGTATTACTAGGTTTTAATAAAAAAATCTCAGTAGTAGCATGGAGTCTGGAATTGTGCCCGGTATATGGCAATAGGCTCACCCCTATTAAATGGGACTCATAAAATAAATAGTGAAAAGTGGGTGTTACATTGTACAGTGGCATAGTGTACACCTCTACCTACCCCTTCGGGGATAAAAGTCGTGATATTATGTTATGTAGGTTAAAGATTTTTAGTGGTATCAGTTGGAAAGATTACAAGTTTCGTGCATACTGCAATGTGTTTTATAATTCGAAAATGTTCAGTATCAGTATTTAGATTAAAACTTTTACTAGTTATGAAAGAGTCCCATGTAATATATTTAGTGGTAAGTAGATTGTTGCTACACATACTTCATCATTCATCGTGTTAGCCTGTTACAATTCGGCTCCCACTGCTGAGCAAAGACCAAGAACGGTGTAATCAGGAAAATATACTGATTTTTTTAAGTACTGATGTACGTTGTTTAACTGCTCAGCATTTTTATGGCACATTTTTAGGAAAACTATTATTGAATCCTTACTTCCTTACTTATATTATAAATCGGAAAGTGAGTTTGTTTGTTTGTTCTGCTTTCACGCCGTAACTACTAAACCGATTGCTTTGAAATTTTGCAGACGTAAAGTTTGAAAATCCTTTTGAAAATTTTGATATTTCCGAGGGAAAACAAAAATATTGGTATAGATGGCGCTGTATCATTTAAAACCAGTTAACGAATCACCTACTTATTGGAAAAATCTAAATAGCGCGATATAACCGAATTCCACGCGAAAGCTAATTGTTGGTTTGCCTGTCTTAAACGACAGAACGGAGGTTATAATTAACGTGACATTTTAACTAAAGGTAGTTGAAGGGATGGATAGTCACATAGGCTACTTTTTATCCTTTTGTGACGCGAGCGAAGCCGCGGGTAAAAGCTAGTTTTGTATAAAGGAGACATACCTGACAGGAGAATGGGACCTCTTCCTCCGTCTCCATATGCACACTGCTGCAGCCGCCAACACGCAGATCAGAACCACTCCACAGCCAATACCGATACCTGCGATAAAAAGAAATAATAATAATTATTATTTTAATTTAAATTAACAAACTTTTTAAAAACAATATTTTAAGCAGCTAAGTATTTATGATTATATAAACTAAACGTATACCTATATAAAATATCAGCTGAATCGATTGAAGATATCTGCTTCAAAAGCTGCAGGATTCCACTTCACACACACATACATACAATACATTGCAAGGTAAATAAAATCTTGTCATTATGAGTACTCTATTTACCCTTCTTTACTTAAACACTACTTATCCGTTTTCAATCTTAAAGCCACGTTTCCACTAGGAGATGTCGCGCAGACATATCGCTCAACTTTCGCGTGTATCTTTGTGGGACAATGTCGCTCAACATTTTGCTTGTTCATATTGGCCAGTTGTGATCAGTATGTCGCCGGAGGAGGAGTCAATATTCTCGTTGGACTACACTACTGCCATTTCCAAAATACAAAGCGATATACGTTCTCACTACTCAATGCCTATCCGGCGACTGCCGAGGGACCAAAATCGCGTGTATCAACGCTCGCAGAGCTTTGACTAGCGACAAGTTGCGCGACCCGTGAATTTCCTGTTGAGTGACAGAGTCGCGGAACAAATGTGAGAAAGTGTGAAAATGCACCTAGTCAAAATACGGCTCAATTCAGAATCTCGACATTAAGGGCGAGGCTCCATTTGTCCGTTGCGCTGCGTTGCGCCGCGTCGTCGCAACGGAACAATGCGTTGTAGCATTGTATGTATAAATATGAAATAATAGATTTATAGATTTACTCATAGACTTTAACTTGGCCTAGTCAAAAATTTCAAATACAAAACTTTTTTTCTGCCTTGTTGGCCGAGTGGTTGCAAGTCCGACTGGGCCCCTTGTCCGACCGGGCAAGGGGTCTCGGGTACGGCCCGGGTCAGGCAAAGTATTACTGGATTTTATCAAAAAATCTCAATAGTAACGGAGTTTGAAATTGTGCTCGGTAACAGGCTCAGCCCCTATTACATGGGACTCATAACATAAATAGTGAAAAGTGGGTGTTACATTGTACAGTGGTGTTAAGTGCCGTAAGTACACCTCTGCCTATACCTTCAGGGATAAAAGACGTGATGTCTATTTTACTTTTTTTCCATAACTAAAATAATATCATTTTAACGAGAACCCTAACCAACATACCCAGCTACAGCCGGTTTAGCTGGTAGGCCGCACCCCCTAGAAGCTTAATCACGGGTATATTATCAACAGCGGAGAGTTTTCACTCTAATCTTTAAAGCTGAACAATTATAAAATCGTTACGCATGCGTAACCCATTACAGGTGCAATAGATTTGTAACATCAATACTTCTGCATACTGAACGTATTATTTCATATTTACGACACACGTTGTAATAATACTGATAAGCAATAGAAAGCAGGTATATAAAAATGGTCGAAATCATACTCAAAATTACCCATAATACCCAATCACCTTTATTAACTAAGAAAAAGCAAACAAAACACAATAAAAAGGAAGAAAAAAGCCACAGATTTATACACTACAAAAGAAAGTATAAGAAGCGATGAGCTACAATGCCTCCTTAGAGCGAGGCCCCATTTGTCAGTTGTACTGCGTTGCATCGCGTCGTCGCAACGGTGTAATGAGGAATGTCATAAAACATAATTATATGGAAAACGACGCTGAGACGATGCAACGCATTACAATGAACAAATGGCGCCTCGATCTGAGGGTGCGTCCGCATCTGGCGAAGGTGCCGCTCGCGAGCTGCGCGCGTGCTGTCATGGCAATAGTTTGGTGCTCGACTCATACAAGGTTCGTATAAATAATAATTCAAAATGTACGCACACAGCTCGCCGGTGGTTCGCGAGCTGGGCGTTCACGGAGTATTCGTCAGATGTAGACGCACCCTTACGCACTAGTGGTTGACCGCATAGATGGTTCGTATCACCTGACGCAGTTGCCATAGAGGTTGTATTGCGGTTGCATATTTAATTAGAAAAAGCAGCAAATCACTGGGTGCGGCTAGCCGCGCGGTTAACCGCTAGTGCGTAGGAGGGAGGTATCATTATTTTGAAACCAAGGCACAACAAAAAGCTTTGTAGCTTAGCAACAGGTATAAAACATCACCCCTTTACTTTATAATAGTAAAAATAACCAAGAAATAGCATAAAAATTAAGAAAAAAGGCACAAAAAGAAGAATTAAGAAAAAAAGCACAAGAAATATAAAGAAAAAAGTTTAATAGTTACTTAACCTTTTACCGCCATGTTCGGCTATAGACAAGATACAAAAAGTACTTAAAAAAATGACGTGTTCTTGTAATCTACGGCCGATAGTGGTGGATTAGCTCAGTTTTTGTTTGTCGTGTAAAGCCGATCGTGGTGATAAAATGGTAAACACTACAATAAGAGGCAAGAAAGCTTAAAAATATTATTCTTATGGTAAATAAGAAAGAAATGTACTCAGATAGTATTGCGACTGGTCTGGTGGCCGCGGTGGAATGGTCAGCACTTGACTGCGAGGGTTGGGCCCTGGGAGTATCACCATCACGTACGTTGATTGCTCAGGTTCAAGGCCTGAGATCTGAAATAATAGAGAGATTATTTTACATCTTTTGTTAATACATAACTGGTGAAACATACCGTATTGTAGATTTGCTTACTATTTTTGGGTATAAAAAGCGTGATGATACGTTATCTACATATATAAAAATGAAACCCGTTTCCCATTGTCACGCCATAACTTGGGAACGGCTAGACCGATTTGTCTGATTTTTTTTTTGTTTGTGTTTGTTATCTTCAGGAGAAGGTTCTTATGACAGAAAAAAGCGCTGACAATCCCACGAGAATGGGAGAAACGGGATTGCGCGTACGAAGTTAGTGTATTTAAAAAAATGTTACTAACAGGTTCATCCAACATCCTACTAATTAAGTACTTCAACCGGAGTTAATCAAAAATAAAAATATGTGTGTGTCAGGACATGATATTTTCCGATCCAATAAAGATGTACCTATGGAAAAAAAACAAATAAGAATCACAATTGTACTCACATGTACGCTGTTAGTGGTGACGTTGATGGTGAGCCAGAGGTCAAGCGACTGAGTGAGGTTCTGCGAGTAGCGCACCATGCGTGGACCCTGGCCCTTCCAGGTCACCTGTACACCCGTCGGGGTGTACCAATACTGCAAATCCTTGGCTTCTTGAAAGTAGAATGAAAACATAAATCAGCATTATATAGGTATTTTAATGATGATTGTTACACATTACGTAATTTACGATCCTTTACGTTGCAATCTCACACATCAATCACCGTGAAGTCACCGACAACTGAGGTCCAAGCACGAATAGCTATCGCATTCGTATCGTAACAGTATCGAGCGAATTAAGCGTTCTGATTGGTTGGTTCACTTGAGCCGGCCAATCAGAGCGCCGAATGCGCTCGATACTATTACGTTACGAATGCGATAGTTATTCGTGCTTGGCACTCGGTTTGGTGACGGTTCACGTATCCACAACCACCAGTCACTGCCACATCGCTCGTCAGACACGGAGTCGTTTTGACTGAATTATGGGACGCAACAACAGTCATGTCTTTATAATAACTATCGTGACATATACCGAATTAACTAAAAATTACGAGTTACATAAATACAATGAATAATACTCTACTAATTTCGAGCGTTCACACCAGTAGCCTGCGCGTCATCGTCGCGCCCGCTTATGAGGTAGAGTCCTGCTGTGACTCGAAACTAGTAGAGCTTTTGTCAGAATATTCGCGTGAGTAACTCGTAATTTTTAGTTAACATTTCAAAGTCAAAGTCTTTTACTTCAATTTACTACTTATTCACGTCAAAATTTACTTCAATTAGGCCAGGAAGGCACTTTTGAACGTCAACAACAAAAATTTAGAAGTGAAGCTAATTGAGAAGAACGAGCAAGAAACTCCATAGGTTACTCTTTTTCAATCATGTTCACAATACAATTCTCATTAGTCTTGACTAATGAGAATTGTATTAATTATTGTTTGTGTGCCTAATTTATAACTTGTTATGGATTGACCAGTGATTAAGTTTGTGTAGCAATGAAGGTAGCATGACGCTGACTGAACTGGAACGTGACGATCCCCAAGTGTCTGGGGATCAAATTATAATAAAAATAATATTTGAGGTGCCTGACCAGTGACGTCACTGCTCTTACGGATAGATCATGTACCGATGACGTAACTTCACGAAGACTGGCCTATGTGAATGCACCCAATGAAAAATTTTATCAGTTATATTCCCATATTCATCATAATGTAAATTACCTAATAGACGGTCGCGCAACGAAATTGGTTGTCGGCGACCACATCAACCCTAGAGTTTGTCCTGTTAACTGAACATCACCGGTGAGCACAGAATCAGAGGTTAAGTTATGATGACTTACCAGGCACTAGTGCAGGTATCTTCAGGATCTGGCTGCGCCCAAGAGGTTCGTATCCCGTCACCATCACGTACAACTCTTTTGTCAGGTCCACGCCAGTCAACTGGAATAATACAAAACAATGATAAACATGCAATCAAAAATAAATCTTATATTTAATAAAAACAAAGTCCAGTATCGAACGGCGCTCTTAATAAGGACTATCGCCAGAATTTTCTGTAAAATGCGTTATTAAGAACTAAGTTATTTTGTCCGATAGAGAATGTACCTAACAAAAACCATTAGACATTTAATTTTTACTGCTACGGCGATTGTAATTGCTTAAGCAAAAGCGACATCTGACACGAGAACACAAACAATAATTCTCACTATTTACTTTCCAAACTAAACTCTAAAACCTAAAGAAAAAGGTTCAAAATTACTTACCAAAACGGTATTGCCCACGGTATCAACACTGGTCCATTGGTGGAGGGGCAGAGTCAGCTCATTGCTGTACTGGATGGTATACTTGTCAGGGACACTGTTCCAGGAGACACGGAGAGTGGACGTGTTCATCATCTTGTACGTCAGGTCTTGGAAGCGATCTGTTCCTGGGAATGTATAATATTAGTTGGTTTTGTTCAGAAATTAATAAAGATTAGGCACCATTGACATTAGTGAAGGAAAACATCGTGAGGAAAACTGGGCTTATAATTTCTAATTATAAGTTTGAAATCGCCAATCCGCATTAAGCAACCGTGATGATTAAGCTCAAGCCTTCTCTGTGTGACGATGTGAATAAAGATAATAATAATAATAATTGCCTCAAGTATAATGTTTTTTAGTTAAATTTACGGGATAAATCTTGCAATCGATTTCGATCATGGTGGTCAGTATATCTAAGCTACCACACAGGAGATATGATAGTGCACAAGTATGTGCCCAAACACAAGTGCACTGTCTGTCCCCTTACTCTGGGAACCCGATGGGACGGAAGACCGATGCGACCAGAGAGAGATCAGCCGCAGGGATTGGACATTTAATAACTACACTAACACACATAAACGTATGTGAAAACTCACCCTCGCCCTGTGTCCAAATATGTACAGGTGTGGAGAACTCTCCGACGGCCATCCGCGCTGGTATGCGAGCCTGGACTCGAACTTCGTACTCCGTACTCGGGGACAACTTGTCTATGCGTATTGACTTGCTGCGACTGTGGGAAGAAATATATGTTTAGGTTAGAGAAATAAAATCTAAAATAATCTATTATTTCAATTACTTTATCTAAAAGGTTTTTAAACATTGTTTAGAATACTAATAAAATACTATTTAAGCGCTTTTTTCTTTTCTCGCCTGACAGAAGGTAAATTTTGGTTTTTGCGAAGTTTAAAAAGTAGAAAATTTCAAGAACTTATTTTCGACCAAAGCACTTGAGCAAAGTTTTGGAGTTTTGACGATGTTTTTAATCTGTCTAAATTGCCTGCACACTATTATATTGATCAAACGATCATAAGGTCATTAGCACAACAACGATACACGCCCTACATTAGAGACTAAGGACAAAATTAAAAAGACCACAAACCTCTCCATGCACTCCTCATTCCCATCCACCTTCCTGATGCACACCATGTAGGTGTAGGTCTCCAGAGACAGCTCCGACTCCTCGCAGCGCCACCGCACCGTGAACTCCCGCGGACGAACGTTCGTCACTTCTACATCCTCAGGAACCGCTGTCACCTCTCTGATGATGACCAGAATTTTGTTTAATTCAATAAAAAATCGTATGTATGTTCATCGTCGCGTCTCCACGTGAACTGACTCTAAGGCCCCATACGCACTGATAGTTAACAACCTAGGCGGCTAACCACGTGGCCTACCGCTTTTTCAGTTTAATATCCCCTGCTGATTGCTATGGTGGGCAATCGTAAAGGAACCGCGTTGAACGCTTGGACTTGGACGGCTCAAACAAACTGCCTAGGCAGTCAACCATTAGTGCGTAAAGGAGATAAGTAAGGTCTGAGTAAATAAATACTGTCTTCTGTTCTTATACGTAAGTCAGAACTGAAATTATGGAGACAATTACCAAATGTAGCCTCTTCTGGGTAAGCTACTATTCATCATCTTTATTTAACTTTAAAATTAGATTAAGAATTTAATCGTGACTTAGATGAAGTCACCTTTTGTCAAGGGCTATGTAATAAATATGTTATGATATTCCACGCTTAAATAAATACATCTTCTTACAAAGAAAAATGCCTGTTTAACTTAAAAAGCCTAATAAAGTTGCTCGTCAGTTTGGCGACAACAGAACCTCACCCGCCGTCGGGAGCATTAATGGCGATGGTGGTGGACGTCCACGGCACCAGCGTCAGGTTCTGGTGCAGCCACGGCACCAGCCTCGTACCCAACACTCGGACTTGCAGCGGTTCTTCTGATGGCACTGAAAGAAGAAGAAAATATGGAATAAATTGTGTAAAAGACATCTTTTTTCAAAACGTCTTATTGGCGAAAACCCAAGATCAAAACTACACCGTAATGTTACAATAAACTTAGATATCGATGTTGAGTCTGGTCCTGACTCTTGATTTTTTGTCAGAAAAAGTTAGTTTTTATTAGTGCCGGTTTTAGGTTGTTTTACAATTGTGACTGATTGACTATTACAGAATGCCACTCTGCATTAAGTCCGCCATCGTATGTTATACCCATAGAAGTAGAAATAATTAAAAAAAAATGTCATCTTCAAAAAGCTTGAACTTCAAACTCTTTTAATCAAATCTACAGTTTACCTTTGATGGTATGATTGGTGACGCCCTTATCCAAGGTGACGTTATGTTCATCAGTGCTGTTCTCCGCCTTATACTGCAAGATCCACTGCAGCACGCCAGGAGTCTGGTCTGCGAACTGCTTCCAAGATACTATGATGTCGTCTCCTTGGCGAGCCAGTTTTATTGGTACTGTAAATAATATGACAGTTTTAATATTTATGATCTCTGTCGGTGCGTATGCCTGGATTATAGAGATACTTAATTTTTATAAATTTTAATCTGAGTAGTGCCACTCTCTCTGAAATACCAGTAAAGTTTATTATATTGTTTTTCCATGTTTTTTTAATGAGAAACCCAACCCCATGTAGGCCTTTTGTTTCCCCTATGTGACATAAATGTGATTCTTCTTTCTTCATTTATATACATAATTAAATTAAATCTCCATTAGTTTTGCATGCAACTATTTATTTTCTTCAGTCTAACCTTGACTTTCTATGGCTTAACAAATTGTTGTAAACCAGTACATAAGATTTTAACAAATTCTGCTTACCCCCTTGTCCCTGACACGTGACGCTCTCAGATATGTCACTCGCGACATTCTTGTTCGTTGATGATGACTTGATGTAAGCACGAACCTGTAGACGATAGTTATAATGTTAATTAGTCTTTTATCTTGTAAAGATGGAAATATGGAGTTTCTTGCTCGTTCATCTCCATTCGAATCTACATTTTGGAATGAGCACCTAGCTTCACTGACGGACTGACTGACAGACTATTATTTATTTTGTATTTGTTGACGTTTCAAAAGTACCAAATTATGGTTTAATTGAAATTAATGCTTTGACTTTGACTTCAAAGAATTTTAGTTTAAGATATTTCCAAAGCTATATTATAATAAGAAATAGTCAACAAAAAGGAAGCATTCTAAACCAAAGTTTGTACTGACCTGGAATCCGTAAGGTGTCAGTGGTTCCGCAACAGAGATGATCTCCTCGATGCCGATAACTGGCTGCCCGGGTAATGAATTGCCACCTGGAAAACACATAAAATATTTAAAATTCTCGGAAGTAGCGGGAAATTTCATGGTTACTAGTTACTATGAGCCCTGGTATCACTTCACTCGAGCCAGTCTTTAGAAGCATGAGTCCTTTATTTTAGTGTTTTACCTATATTTATTTCTTTCCGACAATAATCACAAATTGGATCTTCCAGTTACGAAGGCATCCAGAATCATCACAAACGTGGGAATTAAAAACAGACCGCAATCCGAAATCATGTTCTTTGACAATATTCTTATGACCTTTCTGTCAAAAAGTTTGATATAAAGGTCGACCCAAAGATTTTAAATTAAAACAGACAGTGTGTTAATTTCCAGGGCCTTCTTCCAACGTAAATAATGTAGCCAGACTGCACGGTTGGCGGGTGATTGGGCAACTGACTGTCGCGCAACGTGTCGCGGGTTCGATTCCCGGACGGAACAACTCTTTGTGTGATCCACAGATCGTTGTTTCGGGTCTCGGTGTCATGTGTTTTTTTTATGGCGTAAACCGGTAAACGAGCAGACGGATCACCTGATGGTAAGCAATCGGCGTCGCCCATGGACACCTGGCATACCAGAGGCGTTACAAGTGCGTCACCGACTTTTTGGGCATTAGGAGTTTGAGGATCGTTGGGGATTCAGGGATTGGCGAGATTGGGGAAGGGGAAGGTAATTGGGCCTCCGGTATACGTGAACGGTGACGTGACGGTGTATGTGAACGCGTATGTTTGTAAACGCACCCACGACACCGGAGAAAATCCTAGTGAGGGGCAACGTTTGTTACAAAAAATAAGTTTTGATAGAAGCATAAAAAGTGAAGAATTACGAAGGAAGGATCTTTAACTAACCTGGCGTGGTAATCTGCACGGTATAAGCCATGACATCAGCGTTGACCTTGGGCCAGCGCACAGCGACGGCCCGGGCGCCGGCCGGCCAACATTGCACGCCCGTGGGAGCTGCAGCACCCGCCCCTGTCACGTTCAGGGTAGCCCACGCTGAGGCTGATGACGTAGGGTTCTGGGCGAAGCATTGGTATACACCTGGAGACAAAAAAGGGTGGCAAAATTATACTTAAGAGGTTTTTATGGAACTTATATTCGGGATGATGACAAAATATGAAAATTAAAAATCTAATTAGTCCGTAAGTTAGGTAATGAAAAAATATTAGACACGTATTTTTTTATTTTGTCGTATAATAAAACAATACTTAGATAAAACGAATCAAAGTTTAGGAGTAGGGGATAAAACGTCATTTCTACGTATGAAAAGCACATAAAAGTGACGTCACGCAACATTTCAAATCAATATATCGTTGAAAGTATTCGTTTCTGTAAGAAAATAAAAATACGTGTCTAATGATTTAAAATAATCTACCAGACGGACATTGAAATAAAAATTAGGCATCTACCCTATTGGTATAGTTGTAAATCATATTAAATATAGTGAAAGATTTATTCAATTGCTGTGTTTACAATACTTTCTATTATTCTATTATTGTTTACAAATGATAGAGAATAAAAGTAAGAAAATTTGATATAGAAAGTAAACCATATAGGTATTGAGATGAAGACCAATAGTAGTAATTTCTAATTTTAAGAACAGTAAATAATAGTTTACCAGCATCTTCAGATGTGAGACTCCTGATGAGAAGTTCCATACGCTTCCCATCTGTCGATGGTAACACCACGATCTGGAATATGAACAGTACCTCAGGTTAATAAGTAAATAGATTTCTATTAGTATTTATGACGGCACTATCCGTGTGATAAAATAAGTCTAATTAAGAATATGCCCCATACAAACATTCAGTCCCATCTGAATAAGGTTCACTGCCAATGCAAAACTAAGTTGAAAAAGTAATAGGAAACCGATAGACTGTTTACTTTATTTTATTTGACAATTTCGACTTTATTACTTCCAAGAAAAGGTCATTACGTATAATAACGAAGACGTTAATTATAATTGTATAAGTAATAATATGATTTCTCCAACTCACCCTCCCAAGCTTTAAGAAGGGACGAGTGGAAGGAGAATAGGGAGGCCTTTGCTCTGCTGTGGGACGACATGGCTAAAAATAAAAATAATTAAATAAATAAACTCACCCTCCCAGCCACTACAAGCGGCTTTCCATCCTTGTACCAGGTGACAGTGGGGGCTGGTCTCCCAACAGCGGTGCAGTTGAACCGGACGGTGCCAGCTCTGATGGTCTGCTTCGAGATGGGTGGCACCGTGATCTTGACTGGTTCTGTGATGGTTACGTTGAAGGTCTGGAAGAGGAGAAGGGTTTTAGATATATATTTGTAATTTTGAAATGATTTCATGTTAATAGTGTTCATTTAGTCAAAAGAACTACTAGTTGGTCGAACTACTGAGTTTTATAAAAACCACAAATCCTCAATTGTATCTACTTTTCCCGACCGATCCAGAACTTGAACCCTATTCTATCTAGTATCTCTTTCGTTTGGAGAAAATAAAAGGCAAATAAAATAAGTAACTTGTATAAAATAACTGACTGATTTTGATTGCACGGTTGTCGCGCAATGTGTCGCGGGTTCGATTCCCGCACGGAACAACTCTTTGTGTGATCCACAGATTGTTGTTCTGGGTCTGGTTGTCATGTGTATGTGAACTTGTATATTTGTAAACGCACTCACGACACAGGAGGAAATCCTTGTGTGGGGCAACGTTTTTTTAACAAAATATAACCAAGAAAAAACATGACATCCCAATCAAAAATCGTTACCCTGTACAATAAACCCACGCGTTAACAAAACAAACAAGAAACTCTATCAAACAATATTTTATTCTAACAATCTAAACATATCTATTTAAGTAATTGCTTTTGTTATATTAGCTTTTGCCCGCAGTTTCGCTCGCCTTTAAGGGCCCATTTGGTTATGTTAATGCTATTTACTGAGCATGAAGCGAGGGTTTTTTAAGGGGGGAAAATCATCGAATGACTGCTCCCGCCTGGGTGAGGCGGGAGGGAGTGTCAGACTCTTACTGGCTAAAAACCACCCCGTTCCTACTCCTGCACTTCGAGCCGGAGCCCCGGTAACCCGTTAAGTTCTCCGCGACTCAACCACCAGCATTTGCGAGTACATAAATACAATATCTTCTAAGAAAAATTGTAAAAAAAATTGTATACAATATCTTCTAAGAAACCGCCTTGTATCGCTTTAAGGCATTTGTGTTAGAAATTGAGTACATATCACTGGATGTAATTGACAAAATGTTCACCTCCAGGCCTAAAGATACTACAACAGATCAAAATATACCTAATCAGTCAATTGTCTTCATAGTATTTTCAACTGTATTGCTAAAGGAATGAAGTTAAAAATTGTTTGAAAATTTGGGTGGTTTATTGTGCAAGTTTCTGCGTCATACTTAAATGTTCCCTTTCGGATTTATTTATTTTTTTAAACAGTGTAGGTAGTTAATTATGTCTACTGGTTACGATGCTCGAAATTAATAAAAAATGTCTTAGTAGTTTTCGATTTGCCGAATTCGCCTGTTTCAAGCAATATGGTCATGTTTTTGTATCGTAAAGAAACTAAAAGTTAAATTGTTAATTTTAAAAGTAACACCCACTTTACGTTGAATTCCATGTAACAACGGCTAAATATTTCCAAGCTACTGAAAATCTGAATGTCGAGTGACGTGGTGGCCCGGAGGTTAAGACACCTGGCTACGCTGCCCAACGGCAAGTACCAATGTAACTTTTTCCGAGTTATACATAATGTACTTTCCAAGATTACTCAGACACCATCGGTGAGGGAAAACATCGTGAGGAAACCTGGACTTATAATTTCTAATTATAAGTTTCCAATCGCCAATCAGCGCTCATTAGTAAGCGTGGTGATTAATCCTCAAACCTTCTTTATGAGAGGCTTTGCTCAGCAGTGGGCCCTTATAGGCTGTTGGTATTGATAATCTAAAATTTAAGTTTTTGCAGCTATAAAGCTTCATCATAAATGCATTATAATTGATTTCGTGATAAGAGATATACTATTACAAGTTCAGGATTTTTAGAGAGCCCTGCTGCTGTGTGTAGTCCCTTTTACGATACCCACGGTAAGAGTCTGTGAATTTACAAATATATTGTACTCCGTCCCTTCCTACCACACGTGAAGACCTCTATAATCCTTACTCCTTACTTATATTATAAATCGGAAAGTGAGTTTGTTTGTTTGTTTGTTTGTTCCACTTTAACGCCGTAACTACTAAAATGATTGCTTTGAAATTTTGCAGACGTAAAGTTACAAGTCCGGATTAAATAATAGGGTACTTTTTATCCCTGAAAAATTTGATATTCCCGAGGGAAAACAAAAGTATTGGTATAGATGGCGCTGTGTGTATTGGTATATGTCACATTGGCTTTTTATCCTTTTGTGACGCGAGCGAAGCCGCGGGTAAAACCTAGTAAGTAAATAATTCTCACCTTGAACAGATCACTATTGCCTTCAACACTGCAGGTGTAAACTCCCTCCTGCTGCAGGTCCACATGCTTCCGTATGAGGACCTCATCCGTCTCCTCCAGCTCACTCGTCCTCTCGCCAGGCTGAGAGAACTGCCATATTAGCTGGAAGAAGAAAGATAACATACAAAAATTACCACAAATAGTTGTTCCGGGTCTGGGTGTCATGTGTATGTGAACTTGTATGTTTGTAAACGCACCCACGACACAGGAGATAATGCTAGTACGGGGCAAAGTTTCTTTAAAAAAAAAATTGACAATGAAAAAATAGGAAACGCATTTATTACGTTACGACACACGTAGACATCCTCACTTTACATATAACTTCTGAAAATAATAAAACGTTAAAGATTTTATCTTAAGCGTTTACTAGCGTGATTAACTTGATTGATAGACCTACCTCTATATACATACAAACTTATTTCAACATTATTGTATACATAGTGTTTGAGACTGCGTCGTTGGCCGAGTAGTCGCAAGTGTGACTGCTAGACAAGGGGTCACAGACTCGGTCGGGCAAAGTATTTACAATATCTCAGTAGTAGCACGGGGACTGGATTTGTGCCCTGTATATGGCAATAGGCTCACCACCTATTACATGGGACTCATTACATAAATAGTGACAAATGGGTGTTACATTATACAGTGGTATTAAGTGCCGTAATGTGCGCCTCTGCCTACCCCTTCAGTGATAAAAGGCGTAATGATGTAGTTTAACTGCAAATGGGCGGATAGACCTATAGACCGACTGACATGGCCAGGCTGTAAGGATTTTTGACTACGGTAGACTAAAATGCAGATAGATCGCTAGACCAAAATAATTTATCTAAAGGACTAGAAGCGTATATTCTTATAATATTTTTCTAAAATCGCTTTTCATTTTATTCACACACACACTCACACGCGTCCAGAAATGCTAGTCACAATAATAACTGTGGCTGCAGCAATAGATAACTTACTCTTGGCCGTGGCCATCCAGTAACAGGACATGGCATCACCAAGGTCCCGCCTGCTGGAACAGCTATGTCCCTCTGGTCATGGACCTGGAGCATCCCAGGCTCCAGGTCTGCAGGGTACTCCTCAACTTGCAGTCTACCTCCATGACTGACTCTCGTTCTGTTCGCGTGAGAGTTCGTTGCTTTACATCTAGTGAAGGGAAAAAATATTTAGTACCTACTACTATTTAATAGTGTAACACCCGAATAGTCAAACGCTACTCAATTTGAAGTTTTTTTTAAGGGGGAAATCATTGAAGTACTTCTCCCGCCCGGTTGAGGCGAGAGGGAGTGTCAGACTCTTACTGACTAAAACCCACCCCATTCCTACTCCTGCACTTCGAGCCGGAGCCCCGGTAACCGGTTAAGTACTCCGCGGTTTGCATGTTGTTGTTTGACGAAATTTAAAGTTGCGCTTAAGTATAGTCTGTCAGTACCAATTCTTCGTAAAATGACATGATATTTAAGTACACTTAAAATTGAATAGCGTTTCAGTATTCGGGCATTAGTATTAGATTTAAAGTTTATAAGTTAACCTAATAAACTTTCTTTAAACTGTCAAACACCAAGCGGTCACCGGTGACCGCGACCTATTGTTCTTTAATTGTGTCTATAAAACCGGTACTCGACGAGTTAAGGAAGTTAAACGTACTAATAGGCGTAACAAATGCACAAAGAAAGAACAAATTCTGTAATTCGTAGACAAAATGCAGCCGTAGCGATACGTGCTACGCCGTAGCACTGCGTAGCGATGCAAGTCGCATACTTCGTAGAGCAAATAAAACTGCGTAGCGCCGTGTATTTGGCGCGTATTTGAAATGAATTTTACAAAGTTTAAAAATAAAGAAAGTTATGTGTACCTGTACAATCCTGCATCTTCATCTGTCACATCCGTGATTAGTAGTTGGTTATTTAGTAAATGATATCTGAAACAAATCAATTGATAGGTTGTTGAAAAGTGAAACATACTTTTTCGAACTTTCCAGCTGCTCCAAAAGTTTAGAGTTTTAAGATTAACAGTCCGTTTAGGCGTTGAGGTAACAAAGGAACAACTTAACTTAGGCTTATTCTAATTAATAAAGCTAATCAGGTAGATTTATTGAATTAGACAACGTGGTGCTCTTTACAGGTAAAACCACGATCAAAAGGATTTCTTCTGCTTTTGCACTGTTGGCGAATCCTTAATATTTACCAGGTTTATTAGGTGACACGTACCTATTACTATCAGGCAGAGGTTCTCCATCCTTCTGCCAGGAGAGGGTGGCGTCAGGCCCTGAGCTGATGGCGCAGTTCAGCACGGTCGGCTGGCCTCGCCACACCGTCGCATTCTCGGGATGCACCGAGAACTGCTTGTCTAAATCTGGAAAGATAACATTGAATTAGCCTTTTGCCAAGCAGGTTAAGTTTAAAATTAGTTTGAAGCAGTTTATATAGGTTTTGGGCTTTTTTGGCATGAAATCATAAGTGAATTTGCCGGCTTTTGACTACACGTGGTTAATGTTATGTAAGACTGACATTATTAGCTATCTTTAGTTCTTCTAAAAGAGATAGAGAAGATCATTATACTATGTACCAAATAATATTTTGTCACAAGAATCCCGTGGTAAAAATTGTAAAACTATTATAGAATAGTATTGTAGAATAGTTGTACAATAATTACCTTTATAAATTTTAGGTTATATATAGAATAAAGGTTATATATAGATATAACCTTAACGAAAACTATTAGCCAACTACACAACAATGAATCACCCATTAATAAACCACTCTTGTTTACCTAAATGTAAAGAGAAAAACAGGAAATAATTACTAAATTCATAAAGTTTACATAAACAGAGCTATTGTTGAAAAGCGAAGTTTGTGTTAAATTTTATATTGAACTTTGTATCTTAATATAAGATCCGGCGGTAAGGTCCTTCCCACGCACTAACTTGATAACTTGAAAACGGAGTTAATTTAGACATTGAAAGAAATTCAGGGCAAAAATAGACTGAATTTCTTAAAATATAATACGTTGACGTATTCTTGGGCGTAAATTGTTATTTTTTATTTAGGATTTTCTCCTGAAGGTGCAGTGTATAAGATATTAGTGGATATGATAATATTTTAGAACTACTAATGATTAAAAAAGATTTTATTAGGAACTTTTTTGATATTGATATACTTATGTATGCTCAAAGCATACCATTAACCGTCAGTTACAAATAAAATAACAGAAACTGTTTTGGAAATTATAAAACAGAACCTGAAAATAACATGTTTATTCAGCTACATACAACTCAATAGGAAACAGTTTCGAAGCTACATTTACATATGTAATAAATATAAATAAGCGAAAAACATAACTTAATGAGGAAGCCGAAATTTTTGTTTTTATTTTCAGTTTAATCACACGTTTATAAGTACTATAAAATCCAAATAAACAAACAATATTAATATTAACTATTACTAAATGAAAATATATACAACTTAAAATATAAATAACTATGAACTAAAATATTTACACCTTAACAAAGTACTAATACAATCTGAAACTAATGTAAACATTGTGACGAAGTTTTGTCAATACACAAATAGGATTTCATGTTCACATCTATTTTTAAACCAAGTTTAGATACGACTAAATAAAACAAAACATAAGGCCATAAAAACAAAACATAATGTAACATCTCTACCCACCCCACACAACAATACTCATACAGACACCCATACATTTCAATTCAATCTTTCTTAAACGTCACATCAAAATCGATCCAGCCATTTAACATAATGAAACCTCACATACAAACATGATGAAGGTTCATAAATATCTCATTACTACTGCAGCTTAATTAACGAAGACATTATGAAGTGCTTAATGAATTAGGCACTACAATTGGATTACGCATTAATTATTTTACAGCAGCTACTGAATGGTTATAGAACCTTTTAAAGAATGAGACCGCCATTTTGAAGCATTTCATTAAGATGCCGTTTACAATTTCATTAGGTTTGCTGTTGAATAAGCTGTGTTGGGTTCGATTCTCGGGTTAGGTAAGGTATAGGAGAACGAAATCAATATTTGGTAGTATGATGATCGCTCCGTATTATTATAATAGTGATAATAGAAAACTATATAATAAATACTGCCTCATTGGCCGAGTGGTCGCAAGTGCGACTGTCTGTTCGATTACCGGGTCGGGCAAAATATTACTGGGTTTTTAACAATCTCAGTAGTAGCACGGAGTCTGGAAATGTGCCCGGTATATGGCAATAGGCTCACCCCCTATTATATGGGACTCATAACATAAATAGTAAAAAGTGGGTGTTACATTGTACAGTGGCATAATGTGCACCTCTGCCTACCCCTTCGAGGATAAAAAGGCTCGATGTTATGTTATGTTCTATAATAAAATATTCGTTAAAATTTGGCCTAACTGAAAACCCAACCTTTTAACTTAGGTAGGTACTATTGTTTTTTTTTCAACAATCTCAAACACCTTACCTTTCCCAACCTTTCATTGAACAATACAATCAGCTCGTTATCACAACCGTTTACAATCCCTAACTTCAGGGCGGCCATTATAAATCAGTAGTGATTCGCAACAGTAAATCATTGTCTACGCTCCCGTCAGACCGAGTATAGTCCTATCCATCCGTTTGATTGATTGAACAGAAAACCCGCGTGTCATGACCTCTTGTGTGTTATCTGTTTATAGGGGTGCCAAGCGGTTAGATAAACCCGGACATTAATTGGCTGTCCGGCTAAAATTAACGGCATGTCCGGGTTTTTAATTTTTAACCAATTCAGAAGAACACACTCTTAGCGGTCGTATCCAACTACACCTAAACCATCTCTTAAGAAGTACTTAACGTGAAGGAGCACCTAAACTAAGAAACTGGTTGGTTCAGAGCAATGAAAACCAAACTGTGTTTCCTGCATGCATTTTGTAAAGGAGGTCCATAATAAAGCTATGGACTCTCGCCGTTGGTTGTTTATGATGAAGGTGCCTGGCTTTTCTAATCAAGGCCAAGTTCGCAGGTCTGTCCGGCCTTAAGGACCGCCTGACAACCCTACCTATGTACAAGCCTAACGATTTTCCCAAAATGGTAGAAGGAGGGGGAAAAACAAGAACACTTGTGTTGATTTACATGCGTTCAACTTCATAAATGTTTTCGGCTGAGACATTAAGGAAATTGGTCGGTTCTAGAAAGTTATATGGAATTGTGGAATACCTAAGATGTTTTTTGTAAAATCGTCCCTAAATTATTGGGGTTTAGGTGTTTTTTGCATTGGCGTCGTTGTGTCTGTTGAAGAGGGAAGTGAATACTGAATAAATACTGTCAAGACCGAAACATCATCAACGTTCACGCAAAAAAGCTACTAACCAATCGATACCAAAATATTTCCATGGAAAACTTCTTCAAAATCTTGCTTTTTCCTCCTATACTCATCACAAAGACAGTACAGACAGAATCCAACTTAACACTCCCAAAAACATTAACGACACACGATTTAAAAGGAAATAATTCCCGTTTCTTTTCACACATAAACAATCTTTCCGCTTCAGAAAGGATCGAAAAACAAAGTATCTTCCTTGAGAAAACATAATTAAAACATTTATTATATGTTTTTCCATGTTTACTGAGCAAAGTTCACGGAATTGCGATAACGCCCTTGCTTTCGTAGGTCCTATAAATTATTCATGGCAAAATATTATCTTAGTATCAGAATACTATTTTATTATCTAGAGTACGCCTGCGGGTATCTCAGAGGTACTATCGACAAATGTACCGATGACCCATGGAAATGATACTTCCACTCACTACTTGCATACGATGCAAACAGCATAAAAGAAAGTTCATTTATCCAAATGATATGTGTAATGACTTTTCCTAGTTAATTTTACAAAAATATGTTCAAATTTACAATGAATCCACGTAAAAGCACTTTTGAAATGTCAAAATAATGAATCTAGATGCTCTTTCCAAAATCTATATAGATTCATTTGGAGAATAATTAGCAAAAATATATCAATACTCTTTAAAAAAAATGCGTAACAATCTCACTGACCAAGATTTAAATTCAACCACAACAGAAATACATTCTACCTAGCTGTCCAATACATTGGCCGATTGTACTTTGACACATGCTATAGACTAATGTCGATTTAAGTACTCGTGTATACCACTTATTACCATAATATCATCTACACATATTGGAATAGAATTCTATATAAATATCTATAGTATATAAGTATTTTTTTTTTTTTTTTTTTAAGGGGGGAAAATCATCGAATGACTGCCCCCGCCTGGGTGAGGCGGGAGGGAGTGTCAGACTCTTACTGACTAAAAACCACCCCGTTCCTTCTCCTGCACGTCGAGCCGGAGCCCCGGTTACCCGTTAGGTTCTCCGCGACTCCGAATCGGCATCGGCCCTATTGGACCCCATCTGTGGTGGTCTGATGGCTCTTTGAGGCGCGCGCGGAACGCGACGCGCCGTACGCTCGGGTCTGTTTCTGGTCGGACGGGGAGCCACCCATGCTCGCCGTCCGCAGGCCCGCGCTTACGGTGGCCGGAGATCGTCCCGCGATCCCCGACGCCCGGTGTGTCCTTCGCGATGGCTGGGTTGCGAGGAGGCAGCGCTTCGCTGCCTCACGCGTCCCGCCTCCTCCTTAGCTAGCATGACTGCTTCGCAAAAGGAGGAGACGGCATCCCAATCCCCCTCGCTCCGCATCATGGCCTGCACTAGGCCCGGACGCGAGAGGTCGCCATCGCCGATCACTTCCCTGAGGACACGGCGGTGCTCAGCCCACGAAGGGCATTCTCCCACCGTGTGTTCCACCGTGTCCTCAGGGCGGTCCTCGCAGTGATGACACCCGGGCGTTTCCTCCCGCCCCATCAGACACAGGTACCTCCCGAAACTGCCATGTCCGGTGAGGACCTGCGTCAGGCGGTAGGTGAGGACGCCGTAGCGTCTCTCAAGCCACTCCTCAAAGAGGGGACTTACCGCTGCAATGGCAGTATATAAGTATAGATTGACCACTTTTGGTTAAGTTACTCCTACCCAAGGTTGGTTAGTCGTTAGGACATTTTTAGAATCTCAAGGCTTTCCCGTAACTCAAAGATGGAAGATGAAGATGGTTGGCGTAGTTGCAAATCCCAAACAAAACAATTATTTGTGTAATTCACAAACTAACGGGTTTGGACATGACGTCGACTTCAAAAAATCCCAGTTTGAGTACCACCAGTAACCATGGTTTATTCAAAAATAATAAAAGTGGTCCAAATGGATTACGCGGTTGACGTAGTGGCTGGAAGATTGGCATAACGCATAATGGATTCGATAGAAGAGAACAATTATTTGATATCTTAAAATTT